CTTAATGTATAAATATAATATTGTCAAACTTGTGACAACCTATTCTGACTTGCACTAGGATTCTTCAAGAACCTCGTCTGCTGTGAATTTGAATCATGGAAGTTGGTCACAGTGTGAACATGGTTATCCAGGGACATCTTCCTTTGTGAATTCTATCCGTAAATGCCCAACTCTACTAGGAACTCGATCTTCCAGAACTTAGATTTCTGGACGATAGACATTGGAAGCTAGGGTGAACAAGGCAATGATTTATTATCTTACTCTCATCATGGCAGTTGGACAAACATGACCTTTAGGAGACCGTTACTCCTGGCATTCATTTTCTCTTATCTTTCCCTTCAAAAGGCTTCAATGTTGGGCAAATTCCCATCATAATCAATTGGCAAGTGTAATTGGGCAGGCTACAGTACCTACATGTGGATAACCTATCATTGCGCCACATTCATCATGCACACAAATGTTGCATTGAAGGTTTGAAGCTGATATTCCCATATGCACGTTTTGGTATTGCCTTGCTTCAAATCCATAATTTGCCCATATTGCAATTGTAGGCATTAGGATTGGGTATCAGGGGTTGATTTTACAACCATTGCCTTGAAATTGAAAAATAAATAAATACAAAACAGACATACACCCTGTACATGTACAGTATATGCATTGAAAACTAGCCTATTTTTTATGTTGGTTTCAATACCGTTTTTCAATTTAGTCTTTTACAATGATTAATGCAAAGTGGACTTCAGGAAAACAAAAACAAATTATTATCTTTTTACAAGAGCTGTTCAGTATACATATTCTTATAAATTGATTGAAATAAGTTTAGATTAAAAAATGACAGTTCAAGTGCATATTTACTGTAATATATGATGGGGAAACTTGAGTTTTTGGTATACTTCCAACACATGTACACTGTTTAGACTCCTTTATTGTCTTTCTCTCTCTCCATTTGAAAACATTAATTCATTAGAAAAGGCTAAAGGCTTCAAAATTTACTAATCATCTGTCGTTGAATTCTTTGGCCGTACTAGGGGTTACGCCTGCAGGGTGGTTTTTGTCACGACATTACATACTAACATACGTGTGTACTAAGTATGGATTGTTCATACAAGTATATGTGCAGCAGTATGCACTATGCATGCAATATACCATGCACATTGTAGAGCCCAGATGTAATGTACATCATGTAGTTTTACATCAGGAGTGTCATAACACAAGATCGTTATAGCATGTGTGTAATCAGGCAGTTAATATGTCAATACCGCTATTCTCTATTCATATTACCGGTAAGCATTTGTGCAAAAAGAAATATGCGACAGTATCTCTCCAGTGTCTATTGATCCCTAATCAATGCAAAAGTAGCATCACATAAGGACTCATTTAATGTTCCAGGATGAAACCGCAAGTACAAGTGCTCAATAATTAGATTAGTTGCATGTTGATACAGTGGGCTACTCACGCTAGGAATGAATTAAAACGTGGAGAGGAAAATTCAGAGGAAGAGAGTAGGAATGAGGGGATACATGTAAAAGAGAGAATGAAAGAAGAGAGAATGAAAGAAGAGAATTCAGAGGGTTTCCATGTACATGTATGTGATGAAGAACTGATAAGGAGATCAGGATGATTGTAACTAGAGATCTTGTGAGTAGTGCAACACTTTAGATAGCCTTGTAAGGTTACAGCTGTTTAAATGATTTGTTATCAATTCATCTAAAAGGCTGATGCAGATCTAGGCTCATATAATGTATGATTGGGGGAAGGGGGTCCAATTTCAGTTTTTAGACTCTGTATTCATAAGCCTAAATATGTATATTTTTTAAACTACAGTGTACAAGGGTCAGGACTGAATCAATTGCTCAGTTAAATTTGAGGGAAATTAGTGATAAATATGATCTCAGCTTCATGTATAATACAAAATCATGGAGTCTTTTGCACAGCAAAAATACATACCGGTACATGTAGTAACAAACAAAATTAAAGGTGGAATATTTTTACTAAATTCTCAATAAATCAAAGTGACAAAATATGACATTTTCATTTTTTAAATTTTTTTTAAAGGAAATTAGATAAAAAGAAAATGTTTCCGCCTTTAAAGGTACTATGTCCCATTTGCAGGCCAAAAAAATGAAAAAGTTAAATTCCAACTGCATTTGAAAGATAATACTAATTTAGAACTTCCCTAAAAATGGTGGGGCTTGAAAATGTCTTCAAGTGGGAAAATAACAACTATTAGTTGTTAGAGCCCAAAAGTAATAGTCTTGATTTTCAGACAATTGTACCGAATGGTCATACGTTTTATGCTGCACAAAGATTCAATCAGTTTAATCTTGGCCATCACAAGAAGTGGGTTATTGATGTAGACAAATGCTCATGTACCCTTTACAACTCTTTTCATACATGTATGTTATTACCAAAGAAGAAAAAAGCCATTCAGTCACTCAATAGTGTCTGACAGTGAAGTCTAGCAAGTAAACGGGTTTCCTTGCATAATTTGAATATTAGGACACTGCTAACGTTTAAATTTCACAGATAGGACATACATGACATATTCATAATTCCTGCAGAATTAGTTCTACAGAATTTGAGGTTGGCTGCAAAAGGGACATAGTACCTTTAATGGTAATTTTTATCCGGTCAAAATGCATAAGTGTTCACACGTGTTTTCATCAAATTTGTCTTACTTTTAAACATTAGTGCCTCTCTGCGAATTGAATGTAAAATGTAATTGATTAACTTACACAACATACACATTGCCTAAAAATACATTTATTCAGGTAAGAGCCAAAAGGGCATTAACAGTATGTAAAACTACATTTATATGAGTTAACGCCTTCCTGTTTCTCATCAGATGGTATAATGACATGTAGGTTTCAAAAATAGAATAGCTCTACATCAACACTTGAAGCAAAGTAATAGCATTTAATCTTCCAACAGGAGGCAATCGTTATCAGAAGGTCATTGTACACGCTTGAATGATGCAAGATGAAGAGACCTCGTTACTTAGCTGAACGCACAATTTTAATGAAGTATGAAGCATTCAGAAGGTATAATAGTGTGGTCAGATAAGATATCACTAGCATTAAAAAAATGTTGTGCATAACTTTATAAATAAAGGAGAAAGTGAAGAAAAGAAATTAATTAGGCAGATGTTATTTCTTCTCTATAAAAATAAACGAGTCACAAGATGACTATGATCAAAATTCATGTCACTATTTAGTAGTGTACTGTAAATTGATATTTTGCTGAATTGTGTTATTACATTTTAGCTTTAAAATTTTGATATAAATTGGGTATTCACGGTTTACGCCAACAAGTTCCATGTATTTGTGGGGTAACTGTAGAAGACCGGTGTCAAATGAGACCAACGATCACAAGATTCAATAGACGGGCAGCCCACAACACACAACCCACAACACACAACCAACAGAAATCAATAAAATACATAAGAAAATACGAAAGTTCTCAAAGGTCCAAGAGACAGACCACCCACTGGCAGCTCGCGAATCCGACAGCCCATGAGATCGACAAAGAAAAAGAAGTGAATAAGGGAACATAGAAAAATGTCAATCTTGTTGACTGTCTCATGAGCTGTGAGTTTAGTTTACCTCCTTATAAGTGCAGGCCTTCAACACCGACAATGTCAGTCTCATTTGCTGTAGTCGCATTCATTGATTAGAATTCAGCAAGCATAGGTATTGTAGTGATGGCTCATGGAATTGGGATATTCTATAAGTCTTCAATTTGACCGCTGGTAACATGATGTTTTCTTATCATCAGCATGTAAAAGTGATATGTTATGATATTTGTTTATTATTACGACAAGAAGGTTCTAAATTATTTAATATTCATTTCACCCTCTCGCACCTCACAACACACGAATACTCAAACATAAAGCTATTACTGAAAAAAAACTATGTTTACTCATTACTGTGGTGGTTTATTCATGCAACGTTTACGTAAGCATGCATATGAATATGATTAACAATAGTTCAGATTTGTAACATTATGGTAATCTCATTCTTTTTGTTTATTTCTTCGTCTTCTCTCCCCCCCCCCCCCTTCGGTACCAATAATTAGTATGAGTGTATTTATGACTTACTGTATGTTGATGGGACTCACTCAGCACTCATTAAACACAAAAAAAATCCTAGTCCTGTGTCATTTTCAGCAGTAAAACTAAATTGCTATCATTATCAAGGAAGTCAAATTCTATTTACTCGCCTTAATATGATCATGTTCATTGATTGATAAATGTTTAAGCAAAGCAAATATTTTCATTAGTCACTGTGTATTCTCCAGTTAAATGCCATAAGACAAACAATCATTTAAACCCCAGTTAATGCTGATGCAAGAAGCACTGAGAGAGTGATAATGCATATTTGTCTACAAAATGAATGCAGGGAAAAACATATCAGCTGTCAGGGATTGGTGTCTATATGTTTGTTGGATTTCTAATTTTGTTCATTACTTTTCTATAAAAAATATTTTAAAAATTCATTGCTGATGTTGTATGGATGATTTGTTTATAAGTTTAAATTTTACAGAGTTGCCGCTCACAGGCACCTCTAAATACCCTAATTCAAATACATTTATTTTATCTAATAATTTTAGACTATGAAAAAATTGTCCTTGAAATTAACATTTTGTTCATGAATAAAAAAAAGTTCAATAATGAGGAATACTGCGTTGTATCAAGATAAGGACTGGCAGATGGAATCATGATAAATGTTTTTGAAGACAAATGTTTATAAAACTTTATAGGTTGACATTAGGTAATAGTAATGATGTTCAGCTTGGAGTATAAACAGATATTGTGCAGGTGGAATTCTCAATGTGTACTGTTAATTGACATTTACATGTTTTTGCAGAAATGTATTTATTCAAAGCCTCAGTATCACTGGCTTCTATAAAACCACTGATACAAAACAAAGAATGTGTGGTTAGTCTGTTAGCATATACATTGCACGCTGACGAAAGCCCTCATCTCATTTTCTTCCCCCCAGTTCCACACGTACCACTTTCTCCTGGCAACGTCTTGAATTGAAAGCAGAGAGAGAGAAGGAGAGCAGAAGGAGAGCAGAAGGAGAGCAGAAGGAGAGCAGAAGGAGAGCAGAAGGAAAAGTAGAAGACAGTAAGAAGGAGTACTAGAAGAGGTGTGGGGCTGACCGCTTCTCATCATGTGGGGTGTGACCAACTCCTCAGAGAACTGCAGTCTTCAGGGCAAGAACAATACGGCCATTTCCTTTCTTCAGTATGGAGGTATACCGCAGAACATCGCCTACAACTGTTTATTTTATGTGGTGAGTAGTGCAGCAAGATCTTTGTTCCTCCTTCTCTCTGATTTGTGCATGTGGTTTCAAGTCACAAAATATCCCATGAATCCCAAGTTGGAATTAGGTGGTGGAAAAATTCTAATAGGAGAAATTTGAGTGAACTGAAAACAAACAAACAAAAAATGTAGTTATGGTCAAGAGAATTTGTTCATATATGTAAACTACATGTACCGGGTATCCGAGTATGTATTTTGTTATATCACAATGCAAACATTGGCAGTATTATTGATTCTGAATTAAGAATGCAGTTTTATATTCATGCTCTTTTAATACATGCATATACTGTTTTCTGATCAAAATGTTTTTAACTGTCAAATGAGTATAATTCAAATTACAAGGATGTCGCTGGCATTTCATGAGTCAGTGAAGAATAACAATATTGTGGAATGTGTCTGCCTTACATGTACTATTCAAATGTAAAGTGATGTAATTCCCCTGCAGACATGGCTAAAAAAAAGACAGATATTGCTGGTATTCTCAGATTGTGATGATACAAATGTATCACATTGTCAAGGAACAAAATTTGTGTGCTTAATATAATAATTTACAATTACCTGTTTTACTTACAAGATAGGAACTACCAATACATGTAGAGTATGCAAGCTTTTAAAACAATCCTATAACTACATTTATATGTTTTTAAACCACAATGAATGACACCTGCAGAGACATTGACATCCATATTTTCTGGTCATTTAAAGATGTCTTATTCATTTCTTATTTTCTCTTTGTCTTTCCATGGCCAGATCTTGGTGGTTCTGTTTGCTATCTTCAGAAAAGTAGCTGGGGATTATGGTCGCATCGCTCTTGTAAACCAGGGTGAAGAAAGGTAAGAAATTATGTATTTCTGCTGTCGGGATAATCTTTCTTTTATTAAAATAAAAATTGTTATACTTGGATACTGCCATAAAGTCTTGGAATTGGTTTGCGTAATCGTGATAAAGTTATATTGATATTTTGTACATGTATGTTCTTCAGGTATTTATCACATTTTTGTTGTACAGTGTATAATGTTGATTTGTCATATGTTTTTGCAAATATTTAAGATTGAAAAACGTGTTAATATCCTCCAATTTTATTTATTTAAAGTCATCAAGCATCCTATTGGCTATGTTTGCGTGTTCTATAGAGAAGTTCAGTTTGTTGACTGGGTTCATTTTCATGGTGGATATGTCTAGTGATTGTGTGTTATGAATTCCTTGACTTCACCTATATGCAGTAAAGATCTTGTGACCCACTTGCATTCGCTGCACATGAATTACAATTCTGGGTGGGATAGATGGGGGTTAATCCAGTAGAGTTTTGTTGAGGCCATTGATGGAGATCTTGACAGACATTGATGATAATGAAAGCAGCATCGGGAGTAGACGACTGATGTGGATATAACCCTCGTTGGTAAACAAAAGACCACTGATGGAAATCCACTCAAAGACACATCATCATCTGTTTGCCCAAGACCTGCTCCTCCTGTCATTTAGGTAGCAGAAGTAAGGTTGCTCTGAAAGATGTGCCAATGCATCTATGGAGTTGATACATCGATGATGAAAAAGGGATCACAGTTCCCTCTTGATGGGTACGGCTAATTTCTTTAGGGACCTTCATCCCTTCGGTGGTCGGTCGCGATAGGAAAGATCACCGGAGACTCATTAAATCTGAAAGCCCAATTACAGATTGGATGAGGAGAAGATTTATTGAGTCAAGGAATATACTGATGATGGGATGGTTTAAGAGTACACCTCTCCTACTTCATCTTCTTCAATCCAAGCTGACCCCCTCCCCCTCCTACGTCTTACTTTAAAGGAAACCTTACCCCAAGAAATAACTTTACTTATTCTGAGAAATTTATTATATTCTTGCCCACTAATCTACAAGATATGAGAGACATATAAAGCAAGAAGAATTTACAACTTCTCTGCACAAAATGGGCATCGCCATTTTCCTGATAACGTGATGTACTACACCTGTATGTGAAGTCATTTATCAAGTAAATGTATTCAAATTATGGATGCTTTCTTCTCAAGTGTGTGTAATGATGAGGCATTTCATTTACCTGCTATTATCCCTTGTACTACAATTGATGGAACGCAAATTGCGTAAATAAGTTGTTGCTCTTCTTGGGTGAAGGTTTCTCATAATTGAAATAGATTTGTCAACCGCTATATTTTAGTATTTGTAAATGAATTAGTTCAATTGTTCTCCTGTTATATATTATATCGTCCTTGTTTTCACGAAGTGACGGTAGTGAGGAAAATTGTCACGCAAAGTGAATGCAATTTTTTCACTACCATCACTTCGTGAAAACAGCGACGATATCTCCCAAAGTGGCATATTAATTCAAATTGTGTTGATAAATGCATATTAATGTGGATCTTTAACGATTGAAGTTCAATTTTGATAAATTAATCAGGTGTACGTTTATGTACCTGTATGTGTATGGATGTGGGATTACATTGAGAGAGAGAGAGAGAGAGAGAGAGAGAAAATTGTGACTTATTCCCTTCATTCAGAATTAGTGTTTTCTCACACAGGTCAAGTTATAAAATACCCATCAATGTACAAACTGATCATGTGTGTATTTAATTACTGTAATAGTACACAAATATGATTGTATTCATGATATTTGATGAAATTGTGTCTATAAATATATGAAAATACAAGCATGTACTAAAAGAGAAAAAAAGAGCTTTTGTGAAATTATCTCTCTTTGACCATTGCTGTCACCAATCAATCTTGACCATCCCCTTTAAAAAAGCCCACTTCTCAGTGGCTATAGAATACTGAATACTTAACTGTCTGGGCTTCTACAATAACAGAGTTCCCAGTGGCCGTATCATATTGATTGATTCATTGCGAAGGCAGACTTCATTTACATTTTACCATGCCGGAGTGCAGGAGGGCAATTTGAGAGATTCGATTTCTATACGATGCTCTCCCCCATCTCTCTGCCTCATCTTGTGGGTTTACCTGTGAAGTCCTTAGTGCATCAGGGGTCATTCACACATGAGAAAATATGAAAGTACATGTATGTAGTGAGTAGGGTGTGTGTTCACATGGGATAACATAATATATAAGAAACGGGTAGATTACAATTACAACAACAACAATTTGGAGGAGGGGCATTATTGTGTACCTCGTATTGTGCTTGTTACACATACTGTAGACTCTTAGAGGTCATTGCACATCACTTTCTGTGTCTGATCACACAATACCTAGTCCATTTGTGTATTTGTGTCCTATGCTTTGTTCACAGGGCATATTAACCATTATTAGTGTCAATTCCTCAAACAAAATGCAGCCAGAACCTCTATTTTGCTTTTATGATTAACTTTATTGGGCAACTTTGAATACAAAGTGCACATAAAATTGTTTTTTATTATGTCATAAATATAACTATATAGGACATGGTATTATATATTGCACCGTTTCCCTGTCTAAATGATGGGCTGGTCTCTTTTGATGGCAGGCAAACAGGAAACCAGGCAATATCTCAATGCATCAGTCTGAAAATAACCTTTCAGTGGAATATGAGTTCTGAATAATTGAATGTTAAACACATGAAATAGATTGATTCACATGAATGTGATGAATATATATCTACAGGCATTTTTGTTGTGTACGATTAACCCCCTTTTTTTGTTTATTAAAAGTTGGAACACTTAAATACATCACAGGTTTAGCAGTTTTGCTTACTCCTTTTTTGTGGGGGGGGGGGAGGAGAGGGGAGAGGGAGGGGGAGGTGGCATGACTTCTTTACATTTTTATATTCATGAAGGTTCAGCTTGAGTTATATATTTCATGTATTCATAATCACAATTTTGTTAGCTTAAAACAGGCTGGCTTAAAATTCAAATTTTCACATCCATCCACATGGATTTCAACTACATTCTGTAAATAGGGTGATATGAAAAACAAAAATTGCAATTGAGAACAATTTAACTTTCTGTTATCACTTTTAATAATCTGTGCTTCATTAATTGCTTCAAAATGAACCGAAAGGGTTACTGACACATTGAAACTGAAACAGTATGAATATATTTTTTGCTGCTCTGAGACGGGTTACAACCAGTTAACCTTTTGAGTACAGCACCGGCGTCGACGAAGAACAAATAATTTTCCTTGTTCATAACATCCTCTGAAAGATGATTGCGAGTACAAATGTGAGGGAAAGGCGAGGACCTCCCCGCTCGTGATGGAATCTACAGCAAACTGGATTTGGCGGGCAGAAAATGAGATGACCTTTACGGAGCGTGTCTTTGTATATCTCGTTTCCTGGCTGCCTTTAAACCCTCTGCTAGGTATGGCAGGTGGTTGTAGAGGTATTGTTCAGTGATTTCAGGAGCATAAGAAATCAGAATGCAGTGTTATCTTACACTATTTAAAATATAGAGTTTCTAGAAATAGATACCACAAAGGTGTCATGATAATCTTTCAATTTACTTAATGCATATGTAGTCACCTGTATTGATGATTATGATATTTTCTTTTCTTAATATCAGTGTGTACAGTTGTGGATTTGTTTCCTCCTTAAATCGTAAATAAGAGATATAATCTGTTGGGAGCTATGGAAACGTGTCTCATATATACTTTGTCATTGATTTTGACTTGGCTCTCATCAAACAGTTCATGTATTTGTTTTTACTCTTACACTTGTGTGCATGTGTATCTGCTGGTAAGTTTCTATAAAAATAATTATTTTATTTGATACCCTTTATTTTCTTTATGACAGGAGAGTATTTTCTTCGCAGAATGGAACAGCGGGCTACAACATGTATGGATAAAAATCAGTTCTTATTTCTGCAACCATGCTTGAAACTCATCTCAAACTTACCCACTTCTCAATCTCTGGTGTATGGTCTTTCTAATATTTTCAGAGCATTTTGAATTCTAGGTGTTGGATCATATACTAATGAATTGATTTTGATTTAATTCTGCTTTCTTTTTCTTTACCACTTCATGACACTTCACTTTGCATTCTTTTGTATCTAACTCCATTACTAAAGAAAAAAATGATTAATCAATGAAGATTCATTTTCAGGTTTGTTTACATTAAAGCACCAGAGTATCTAACATCATTGCAGTTGCATTTTGAGGTTATTTCTTTAACTCTTACCATTTATTGCAGTTTTCTAAAACTCCATTCTTTCGGGTTCAAGGCAATCCAATATTGAAAGCAAAAAATTGTTTTTAGGCACAATTTAAACAAGAAAGAGAAATATGGCATTTGAATGATTATCAAAAGAATCAGATACTGTGTCAGTGAGATCATTGATGAATTGGGAATTTAAAAGTCACCAAATTGGTCATGAGTCTATTAGTCAAAGGACAACTTTCCATTCGCTTTGCGCAATCAACTCTACTAATACCATATCAAATTTGTTGCAGATATGAAACTTTTGAGTATCTGTTACTACAGAATAAACTTTGTTGTCCTGACAAATCAGGAAAGTGTGTGTATAATTTCTGTCATGTCAAAACAGAATGGAAAGTTTTCAAAATTTAAGAACCTATATAGTATGGATCCCACAATTTGGATTTCAATAAATTTAGTGACTTTGCTTTTCTGATTATTTGAATCCTTAACCACCTACAATTGTTTCTCTGATATTCTGTTTTATATATATATATATATATATATATATATATATATATATATATATATATAATTCAATGCAACTTGATGCTACCAATGCTGGATTGCCCTATAATTATGATCAAATACATCATCTTTTCAGAGCCAGAAGGACATTAATTCTGTATATGTTAACATCCTTCTGGCTCCAAACGTACAATATCATCATTGATGTCGGGACTAATACTATTTTATGCATTTTTGAGGTTCTTCCTTACAATTATCTTCCATTTCTTAAATTTTCTTTCCCTTTGGTCTTTTATTAACAAATTAATCATTGAATAGATCCATTGCATCATGCTAAAATGTTTTAATTTATATATTTATAACTGTGACCAAAATCATCATCACAATGAATGTTATTCTTATTCATTTGTAGCATGAATAATCAGTTGCATGTGTTGAGGTGACGATAACTGTGAGGAGGATTCTGTTGTACATAATGATGGCAGCATTTTAACCTGTATTTGTCATTTTTCCAAATTACATTTCTATTCATCTTCTTTTTGAGTATGAAATTGTAGCCCAATACAAAACAAGAAAATGTAATGGTATCTGTAACAAGCCCTATCATCAAACTCTATCTCATCAACAAGATTTGATCTGATGGTAGTATTTTAAAAATGAGATCCACATTTTGTATGTAAATGTTTGATATCAAACATGATGATAAATACTTCAATAAAATGATATTAATGTTATTGAATTTAAATTTATTTAATTCTTGATATCCTGATTAAATATATTTCAATAAATAAAAATAAATTTAAATATTCAATCCTATATCTTTATACCGTCTGTGGTGGTAGTGGTGGTTATTTTATCTGACTGCTAAGAAAGCATACATGCTTGTTGATAGCTGTCTTTGGATGTTCATCAACGTGTTTAGACTATGAATGGCTGTAACATTCTTCTTGAAATAGGTACCCTCATTGTGAAGTTTACTTTTTCCAGTTTGATGATAATTTATGCCTAATTTCAAAAATGAAAGATGGAAAATGGAAAGAAAAATGTATACTCTTGAAAACAAATTTTTGATGATTGATGAAAAATGTGGAGTCAAAAATTGGGTTAATCTCTCTCTCTCTCCCCCCTCTCTCTCTCTCCCTCTCTCTCTCTCTCTCTCTCTCTCCTCTCTCTTTCTACAATTCTCTCTTTCTCTCTCTTTCTACTTTTCTATTTTTATCTCTTCCCTTGTCTGTATTTTTCTCACTCCAAATCTTTTCACTCTTTCCTTCCCTTCTTCCTTATTTTCCCTGTTACACCTTTCTCTTTTTTCATCCCCTCTCTGTTAATCTTGATCAATTTACCATGTGTTGAATATTTCTCTTTCATTTCCTCTCTGTTTGTTATGATCTCCTTGCCATATGATATACTTCTATCTCTTTCTTTTTTCATCCCCTCTCTGTCTTTGTGTCTAAAAATCACTCCACCATGTATTTGCCCCTTTTCCTTCATCTTGAATCCCTTTTCTCTGTCTTTCTTGACTATTTGGTATTTCGTTGCTATGTCTTCGACCTGTACAAAGTCAATGAACCTCTGATAGCGTTCGCATGCACTGCTGGTCTGCATGGGGATCACCATACTAGTCACGTACATGCAGATATATGTAACTTGACAGGGTTAGCACTCATAACAGTGAGGCAAGACAGGGCATGGCAAACCTACACGTATTCCAGGCTAATTTTAACTGTAGTCATCATAAAGGAGATTGTACTATGCATTGTAATTAATTGTATATCATAGAATCTTCATAATCTTTAAATGGTGTATGTACAGTAGTTAATCAAGTGGAGAGAGAACCAGTAATGTAGTTTTAGCTTCATCATATGCATACTGATACATGCAGCTCTATAGGGGGCCTCATGTTTATACCAATGAGGCAAGGTAAGGTACAAGGCAAACGTTTTCTATGCTCATTTAATATCTATAGTACTCAGCACGAAAAGAAATCATCTTTTTAATCTTAAATTGGTGTATGTGGTAATAGCTGGAGAGAGAATCAGTAATGTAGTTTAGTTAAAGGTAATACAAAGTTTTGGGAAACTTTGAAAATTTGGTGGATAGTAATTCCTTACTATTTTGATATATTTGGATGCCCCTGTGGATGTTTAATAAGCACTAGAAAATTTAGCCCCTAAAACACTTCTGCTTTCGAGAAAAATTGAATATAAAAATTTACCGGTGCTCCCGGTAAATTTTGATGAATTTCAAAAAGCGCCTACTGCCGTACAATGGTAGCTGCGACCATGAAAATCTCAGAATATGTAGTTGTGATATATAATTTCAAAACGGGAATAGCTAATCGGTCGATTTTAGTCAAGAAACATAGTTTTATAGCTGAATTAATATCTTGACCTTGAGAGGGAGCTATACAACATAAAGAGTGTATTATTTACAATTGTATAACTTTAGACTCGATTTCAACAAATTTTAGCTTGGTAATACATTGTATTCATACTGAGAAATACATGTACATTAACATATGAATGTACATGTAGCTCTACATGGTCAGCACTTAACTGTGAGGCAAGACAAGGCAAGATAAACTATACTCGAGCCTAGTTTCATATCTACAGTAGTCAGCATGAAATGAGATTGTATTCTAATGCCATAGAATCTTGAAGTGGTGTAGTATGTGGTTTAGCTGGAAAGAGAATCAGTTCTGTAGGTTTGTTTATAAATAATTTTCATGTCAGTATATATATGCAGATTGATAGGTTTAGCACTTATTTGTTGGGGGCCAAGACAAGGCAAGATAAAACTGACTGTATGCTAGTTTCATATTATCTATCACAGTCAGCAAGAAGAAAGTAAAAACTGCACTCTGCATCTAATAACATAAAATCTTCTTGATCTTCAAATGGTGTATGATTAGCTAGAGAGAGAGAGAGAGAGAGAGAGAATCAGTTCTGTAGGTTTGTTTATAAATTTCCATGTCAGTCAAATGCATACAAGCACAGTATGTAAATTGTCAGGTTTAGCTGTGAGGCAAAGTAAGGCAAGATAAACTTTCCTCTAGTCTAGCTTCATATCTACCATCGTCAGGAAGAACAGATTCTGCACTATGCATCTGATAACATAGAATCTTCTTGATCTTAAAATGGTGCATGGTTAGCTAGAGGGAGAGAGAGAGAGATATGCAGTTCTATTGGTTTGTTTATGAATTGTTCATATTGATCAAATGCATGAAGGCACAAGTAACTTGATAGGATTAATACACAGCAAGGCATGGGGAACCAGGGCTAAGTTCACATCTACTGAAGTCAGCACTGCCAGAAACTGCAAAATGTGTTTTCCATGTACATGTATATGACATGTAATCTGCTTTCTCTTTAAAGGGTATATGTGGTAGGATGACTGGTACTTCTTCAATACAAAAGTATGCATGTGGTATAGGTATTATTTAATATGTGAAATAATATGATGCGAATCAGTCCAGAATGCATTTTGTTCAATCCATTGCCTACATGAACCAGGTGCCCCCTGTATTTAGGAATGCAAGAATGTTGTATCCAATGGTTAAATCAAAGGTGGCAGGTTTTATAACATAAATGTAAATTTTCTTGTGATTTTGTCAGATAGAAAAAAACATATTGGAGAGAAAAGTCAAGGTTGAACATATAAAATGTACATGTATATGTTTGCTTTGATATTAGACAATATTGCAACTGTCCTAAATATTATAGTGATACCCTGATGGTATTGTTAACTTTTTCCATAATTTTCGCTTATAGAATTACAGACCACATCCAGTAAATGAGTTCTGAAAGTAGATGAAAAGTATTTCACCACATGTATAACTGATTTACAGCACCTTTAGAACCTGAACCTTGCACAACATTTGTGCATTACACTGTAGATAGTTCAGACAATTCATAATCTTTTGTAAATCAGCCATTATATCATTCTTGCATGTTTCGTTGGGTCATTTTGAAATGGGTCAGCTCCATTTGTAGATTAATACCACACCAAGTGGCATCCTCTCAAAGAAAGTCAGATCACTCTATATTCTATATTGCCAAATTAGCATTTCTAGCCATGCATTTATCATGCATATCTGTGCCAGGCATACATATCGGCCATCTTCTCCTAAATCTTGAAAAATAAACCCTAAACTTTGCCTGTGCATGGGCCAT